ATGATTTCCTTCTTTGCTTTAGACCAGTATGTGCTTTCACACTGGGTCCCTAGCTAGTCTCAGGTTCTTGATCAGACAGCCCAAGCATGGTCTGGTATGGGTTCCATCTCATGGTGTAGGCCTTACAATCAAATCAGTTACCGGGTTGGTTACTCCCCAAACGTTTGTCCCACAGTTTCCCTACAGTATATTGCAGACAGGACGCAATTGTAGATAAACTGTGGTTAGCTTGGTGTTTATCTTCTCTGGGAGAGTGCAAATACACACACACACAGAATGAGAGAGAGAGAGAGAGGAGAGAGAGGTACACATGTATATATGAACATCCACATATGAATGTATATAGTGTAGGTGTGTAGATGTGAGTATGAGTTTTAGGTTTTTATATACCCTTTTTACATCACCTTACTTTGAGCTGTCTCCCCATAGTCTCCCCTTCATATTTTTCTTATATGGAGAATCACATTTATTAATTTTTGTATATAGAACATTCCTGCACTTCTGGAATAGAGCCTACCTGATCATGGTGGATGGTCTTTTTTTGAAGTGTTCTTGGTTGGAGGTTTGCAGTTTTATTGAGTATATTTTGCATTGGTTGTTAAGTATTTTTCATTCACATTCGTGGGACTTGGGTCTTTTCTTTGGCATGTATGTGGTCTGGTTAGCAGGGTAGCTGTGGTCTCACACCAGGTGAGTTCTTGCAGTAGAGCTCTGTATCTACTCTTTTAAATAGTTTTTCAGGTATTGGCATTCAGTATCCTTGAGATGCCTGATAGAATCCATGCTAAAATTATCTGAACCTGGCCTTTCTTTGGTTGGGGAGACTATCATGACTTCTCTCCCACTGTAGATTATAAGTCTTTTTAACTAGGTGTCTGTTCTTGGTTTAACTTTGGTAAGTTAAGTGTGAAGAAAATTATCCTTTGCTTAGGTTTTCCAATTAGGTGGACTACACATGTTTACAAAAGCATGTTTTTAAGCCAGGGAAGTGGTGGTGCATGCTTTTATTACCAGCACTTGGAAGGCAGGGCCAAGGATGAGCTCAGTGAGATCGAATTCCGTCCTGGTCTACAAGCAAGTTCCACGAAGCCAGGCTTACACAGAGAAACCTTTGTCTGGAAAGAGTAAAAAAGTAAAATTAAAAAGAAGAAAGAAAGAAAAATTATGTTCTTTCTCTTAAGATGCTTTGAATTTCCTGCCTGTTGTCTTCTTTTCATCCCTTATCTTTTTTGTGAAAAGTTTGTTAATATGAACTGACTTTATTAAAGAACGTACTGTTGTTTCATTGTGTTGTTTGTTTGGTTTTTTTTCTCTTTTATTGATTCCAGTCCCAAGTTTATTTCTTGCTGTCTACTCCTGTTGGGTGTGACTCCCCTCATTTTTTTCTAGAGCTTTTGTGTGTGCTGTTAAGTTGCTAATAGGAGATTTCTGGGTTCTCATCCATAGGCCTTTAGTGCCTACTAACTTTGCTCTTTGTACCACCCTCAGTGTGCCCTTGAAATTGGCTACGTTGTGTATCCATGACCATTCAGTTCTAGGAAGTGTTTCATTTGTAATTTCTGTCTAGACCCTTTTGTCATTCCGGTAGAGAGTTGTTCATTTTCCATGAGTTTGTAAGTTTTCTATTGTTGACCTCCAGCTTTAATCTGGTGTGATTTCATGTTTGGTACCTGTTGGGATTTCTGTGTTGATCATGTAACATGATCAGTTTTTTACACACCATGGGGTGCTGATAAGAAGGTGTGGTCTTTTATGTTTGGGAGAGATGTTTTATATATTTATTTAATGTTTGTAAGTATATATCTGTTAGACCCCTTTGTTTTGTTTATAAACACAGCGCCTCCATTTTCTCTTTGTTGTTTTCCTGGATGGCTTGTCTGTTGTTGAATCTGGGATACAGAAGTCTCCCACTATCTGTTTGTATGGATCAGTGTGTGCTCTCAGCTGTAGTAGTGGTAGTGTTTCTTATGAAGTTGGGTGCCAGTGTATTTGGGGCATAGACATTTAGGCTTGAAATGTCCTCTTGTTTGGCTCCTTTTTCCTTTGATGCAAACATAGTGTCCTTCCATCTCGTCTATTAGTTTAGTGTGAAGTCTGTTTTGTCAGACATTAACATAGCTACACTAGCTTGTTTCACAGTTCCATGTGCTTGGAATATCTATCTACATCTTAATACCTTGAGGGGATGTGTAAACTTCCCGGGCATTTCTTGCATGGAAGAGAGAGGTGGATTCTGTTTTCACGTCCCAAAGTCCATTGTTAGCGTGCGTGTGTCTTCTATTTAAGTATGTGAGACTACTTATTGAGCAATATCAATGACCAGTAAAATTTTTGTCTTGGTGGTGGTGGCAGAGGGAGGTATTGGTGATAGAGGTGGGTGGTAACGGTGGGTGGTGGTGGTAGGTGATGGGGTGTGTCTGTGCCTGTGCCTGTGTGTGCGTGTGTGTGTGTGTGTGCATGTGCCTGCATGCATGCATGCTTTCATGTGAGCAGGCACCACCGGTGCCTCTCTCCTTCCCTTCTATGATTTTCTGATCTCGGGATGTTCACTCCCTGCGTTTTCATGGTTGTGGTTAAACTGTTTAGGTCGCAGTTGTCCTGTCACTTTTTGCAGGGCTGCATTTCTGGATAGCTGTTGCTTAAATATGTTTTCCATAGGGAGTATCTTATTTTCTCCATCTATGGTAAATGAAACTTTTTCTGGGTACATTAATCTGGGCTGGCATGTGTAGTCTCTTACAAGTATATATAGTCTGTCATCTGTCCATCCCAAGTTGTTCTCTGAGAAGGTGATTGCAATTCCATTATTCTGCTTCGTCACTTGTCCTTTATCCCTTGCAGCTTTTTAACATCCTTTCTCAGTTCTTCATATTTAGTGTTTTATGTGGTGTGAGGACTCTGGTTTTTCTGGTCGAGTCTTTTTGGTATTTGTTGTGTGTTGTCGTACCTTTATAGGCATCTCCTTTAGGATAGAACAATGTTGTCCTATTGTTTTGTTGGAAACACTTTCTGCGCCTTTGACCTCTGATTTTTCCACCACCTCTATCCTATTATTCTTAGGTGTCCCTGATTTCCTGGATACCTCAGGGCAGGTGTGGATTTTTAGAGTTAGCGTAGTCTTTGACAGAAAGTTTCCATGTCTTCTATGTTATCTTCAACCCCTGAGATTCTCTCTTGCGTCTCCTGTGCTCTGTTAGTGAAACTTCCCTCTGTAGTTCCTCTTCAGGGTCCCAGATTTTTCATCTCCAGATTTCCCTCAGTTTGGGTTTTCTCTATTGATTATTTCTCCTTTGGGTCCTTGCCTGTTTTGTTCATTTCCTTCCACGACCTGTTTGTGTTTCCAGAGGTTACTTTAAGAGATATTTACTAATTTTATCTTGAAGGTCCGCTGTCGTATCTGTCAAGGCTGCTTTATGGTATTTTACTTGTGTTTCAGCCGTGTTGGGACCGCTGTGTTTGGGTTGCTGGGCTCTTGTGGAGACATAGTGCCCTTGCTGTTGTTGATAATGTTTTATGACATCTTGGTATCTGTTGGTGGGGAGGTTGTAATTCTAGGTGCTGAAACCTGCTCTTGTCCTTGTTGGGATGAGCAATTACTTCCTGGGTGTCTGTTCTCGCTCTGCTATTTAGGAGGGTATGGTGGCTGCACATTGCTTGTAGGAAAATCCTCTGGGGTACTGACAAGTGTGGGTACTGGGGTTTGCAGGTAAATAGTGTTGCTTGCTGTTGGGACCTGAGACCTAGGAATTGGAGTAGGCTTGGGATGGTGGGAGGGCTTCTCAAAAGGGAGGGGAAGTTAGGTGTTTCACCAGAATCTCATTGCTTATTACCTTTGTTAGGGGGCTGGGGGTGAGAAAGGGGCACTGACCTTGGAAGAGCTGACTTGGAAGGGATGATATGGAAGTAGCTTACCTGGTTCCCTGCTGGGTAGGGCATGCCTGTGGGTTCCCAGGGAGTGCCTCCTGAATTGCAGGGTTGAACAAAGCAACTAGTAGGTTGGAGACTATGGAGGGAAGATCTATGGAATCTTAACAGAGATGAAGTGGCAGGAGAGGGTGCCACATGTGATCTGCTGCAGAACTAGGAATGAGACTGGCAGATTTGGTTCGGTAGAGCTGAGGGAGATTGGGGGTTTGGACTTGGAAGAATTCAGAGAGAGATGAGGATGTGGTTTAAGTTACACCACATGTTTTCCAGACCAGAGTGTCCTGCATTATCCAGGGAATCCTGAAGTATAGGGCTGAGATAAGCACAAGACAGAGACAGTGGGGTGGGGGGGATAGGGGGAGGGGAGAGAGAGAGAAAGAGAGTAAGCATGGGAGGGAGGGTGGGAGAGGGAGAGAGAGAAAGGAAAACAAGTGACAAGTGTAGGTGTGTTAAGAGGAAAAGCTCTGTGGGATCCACAAGAGATGAGGTCTGGGGTGGGGAGCCTGCTTCACCCATTCTGCTGTGAAGATGATAGTGGGCGACTGGACTCCCACGAGGAAGAGAATGAAAGGGGAAGGTCTACAGTACTATACCTGGTTCCCGGCAGGGCAGGAGTGGCCTGGGAGTTCTCAGGGAGTTGCCTAATAGGAAGGGAGGTGTCTCATGGAATCCAGCCCAGGGACAAAAAAAGTAGAGGCAAGAAGGGAGTCTGAGAGCAGGAGAAGTATTCCTCCCGAGTCTTCTAATTGCTTATTGTGTACAAAGTTGTCAGCCCTGCAGTCATGGATCACATGTAATGATCACAGACTTAGCAAGCTCTGTTTATATATTTAGGGGTATTATTTAAAAGTAACCTGGAAGGAGCCATGCTTTTCAAGAGAAGAAGCAGGGCTTAGAGGATTTGGGAGTGATTTGAATGAGGAAAGGGAGAGAGAGAAATGGCATAATTACATTTGGCTTATTAAAAAAGCAATTTCATGATAATTACAAAAGGCCCTTAGGCCTTCAGTACATCATGTAGTCACCGGTGTTCTGGGGAGAAATTTGTGTCCTGCAGAGATGTTCACCTTAGTTCTCTACTGAAAACAAGGATGATGACAGCAACTTCCACATGGATTTCATCGTGGCAGCATCCAACCTGCGGGCAGAAAACTACGGCATTTCCCCGGCAGACCGGCATAAGGTCAAAGGAGTTTTACCTACCGTTGACCCTTGCCCAGGGTGTTTTCCTTTGGGTCTTTGGTAGGCCCCTAACACCTCTTACTCAGTAATCCCTGTTTTCACTGTCTGTCTTACAGAGCAAGCTGATTGCAGGGAAGATCATCCCAACCATTGCAACCACCACAGCAGCTGTAGTCGGGCTTGTGTGTTTGGAGCTGTACAAGGTGGTTCAGGGACACCAACAACTGGAGTCTTACAAAAACAGTTTTATCAACTTGGCTTTGCCTTTCTTTAGCTTTTCGGCACCCCTGGCTCCAACCTGTCACCAGGTATGGTGCCAAAAAGTATAGGTAATGTTGGTGTTGCCGTTTAGAAGAGCTGGCAGCATGGGTTCATTGTGAGTCCTGTCTGTCTTCACTAAATCAAACATTTAATGCTGAGGTTGGGGGGAAGGAGACAGCTGGGTCTTTGTGGTGGGTGTCCTTTTCGTTGCAAAGATTCCAGCTGCTGACTGACTGATCATGCTCAGTTCAGGCCACAGGAGTGTTGTTGACAAAAGGGCTGTGGTTAATACATGCTAAGAAGAACATTTGGGGTGGGGGTAGCCCCTCTTAGCACTTGTCTTGTCCTCCAGTACTATGATCAGGAGTGGACATTGTGGGATCGCTTTGACGTACAGGCACTACAACCTGGCGGCAAGGAGATGACCCTCAAGCAGTTTCTAGACTACTTTAAGGTAGGGAACTTTCCTCCTGGAACTCCCTGTGTGTGGGGAGTTGTTCATTTGCTTTAGCACTGTCCATCTCACAGTCACCACCCCCTTCCGTCTGAACCCCCTGCAGACAAAGCACAGGCTGGAGATCACCATGCTGTCCCACGGTGTGTCCATGCTCTATTCCTTCTTTATGCCACCCCCCAAGCTCAAGGAACGGTTGGATCAGCCGTGAGTTAGCCTCTCTGGGCTGGTGGGAGTGGAAGCCTCCTGGGGGATTCTCGGCATCCCACTGAGTGTGCTACTCACACAGTTCACTTTCTTTCGCTGTAATGTGCCTCCTCCCTTCCCTTCATATTTGCTGTCTTCCCTCTTAACTCTGTGTTCCCTGGCTTCAGGATGACAGGGATTGTGAGCCGTGTGTCAAAGCGAAACCTGGGCCATCATGTGAGGACCCTTGTGTTTGAGCTGTGCTGCAACAACGAGAGTGGAGAGGACGTCGATGTTCCCTATGTACGATACATCATCCGCTGACCTCTTACTGACTCTTGTCTTTCAGTTGTGTTAGCCTGTGTCAGAACCCTTCTAAGGTGTGAAGACACCTGAGTCCAGACTTGCTTGTTTCTAGAATTTTTCATACCGCTCTTCACATGGTTTGGCACTGGAATTCACAGTAATAAAATTTTCAGTCTATAAGCAGTGTGTCTTCCTCTCCTGTCAAGGGTGGGAATGCTGTAATCCCGGTGAAGAAGTGGAAGCCTTAATCTAAGATGAGTAGGTTACAGGGACAAAAAGTCCAGCAGCGCAGAAGCAGCATGCACGGTGTCCAGTATTCAAATACAATACCGAAGATGAAACGTCCACTCCTGTCATACACTTGTGTTATGCCGACTTTCCCCTTGTTGTGTCTGCTTGGGGAGAACTCACTGTGGTGGCTGCCTGTCCACAGTGAGGTCAGCCCTTTCTTTCTCCAGCCTCGCATCTGTCATAGTGATGTTCAGACGAAGCACAGACCCCAGTTCCGGCTGCTGTGGGTTGGGATCCTCTGTCTTACCTTCATCCTGCCCCTTGATTGTGTGTCCCCTGCCAATTGCTCATCTGAAATAAGGGGATGAAAGGTGGTTATTAGGGATAAAGCCCGAAAGTTGATTGCTACTTCATGTGTGTAGTATTATTGAGTATGTATCTACCTGCCTGTGTTTTTTTTGGATTTGCTATTTGCACTAATCTACCTCTTTCAGTTGGGACAGCTCTTTACATTTAGGAGAATTGTCAGGTCTCGGATGCCCTCCCTGTAACACCCATTCACGCCCCCGAACCCAGGCACATAACCTTTTTGCTGCTTGAGTCAGAACTGTATTTGCGTGCATTTTGCCATTAATCTCTCTGTGACTTGAGGGTTTCTTGAGTTGAAAATGTTTGATGCTTTGCTAGTCGCCACTTTTGTAAAAAGTGTTCATTCCTGAGACGACGTGATTTCATTCCTGTATCTTCTGCAGTGCCGGCGTCCTGTGTCTGAATGACTGTTGTCTGTATTTGACTTGGAACGTGCTATGAAGAGTTACATTGATTGAAAGACAGCATTGCGCAGTATAGTTATGTGGTTGGCAGGTGTAGCCTCTTGGAGCATCTTTTCTAAGCCCTTGGAGGTCTGAAGTAATTCTGGAGAAAATACCTTTGTGAATAAGTCAAGGGTCACTTTTCCTCTGACAGCGTTGAATACTCTTTGTCCAGTAGTATCTGCATTTTTCATTTTTAATTAAAATGTCTCCCTATGATACATTTTGGTCTTTTCCACCCCCACCCCCACCCCCACCCCTCCAAAACTCTTCCTCAGCCCGTAACTTCTCAAACAGTTACTGCCTTGTGAGATAATAGTATTTTTTTTTTCATTTCCTTACCCCTTCCATTGCCTCCCCCTTAATATTCCAATAAATTCCTCCTTGCCCTTTGAAGTTCATGGCTGCTTTTCCTCCCATTAAATTCTATTATATACACACACGCGTGTGTATCACATCTATTTCCTAAAAGGAAGTGCTTGCTCACTGTAATGTCATTTGCATGTATGTCTCCTGGGCTGCACCATTTAGTATTGGATAAACAAATCGGTGTGCTTCTCCCTGGGGTGGTCCGTCTCCCCCCATTCCCAAGGGGCATGTAGATCCTCTAGGGCTAAGGACTCTTCCAGTCCACATTAGTGTGGTTGTTATTCCTGTTCATCCTTGTTGCGCTCATGTTTAGGCACTCTGATTGGTAAGCTTTTGCCATTCCAAGCAGGACACATTGTCACAGCAGACCTCTGTCTCTTGGGAATCTTTCTTCCCCCCTCTTTTGTAGTGGTTTTGAGCCTAGGTACAGGATTTGTGTTTGTAGTTATGTCCATTGGCCCCAGGCTCCACAACTGTTTGCATTCTGATTGGGTGTCCTTTTTAGTAAGGTCACTTACCTGTTGCATCGGGCTTTCTGTGATCAACTTCTCTGTGGGTTTAGGGATTATGCTGTAGGCATTATTCGGGTTTGGAAAAGTGGTGGCTGAACATTCCTCTCAGAGATCTGTGACTTCCTTAGATCTTGGTCTCATTAGCTAGGGTTTCCGGACCTGGCGTTTTAAACCTAATGGGACCAGAAGGAACTTTTTGGTCATGTCTATTTTGACTTCCAAATGTCTTCTGTATTTCCATGTGCACACATTTCCCTGGATTTGGGGAGTTTGGGGATATGATTCCACTGAACATGTTTGTTTCTTCTCCTGTGCTTGTTGTCTCCTGGTTCTAGTACTTGGATAATTTTGTTAAATTAGAACAATCTTATTTTACCTGTCAATCCCAGTTCCTTCTCTGTCCCATCCTCCCATGTCCCCCAATGACCCATTCTCTTTCTGCTTCCATGGGCGACCCAGAGAAAACTCTCTGATCTTAGACACAAGGGAGAGGGTCTAGGCCCTGCCCCAAATGATGTACCACATGGAATCTTAAATGTTCTTTCATTGTATCCCAGAGTTGTTGAAAGTTGTGGTAATACTTGCTGTTTTTTCCATTTGGTATCTTCAGCCCATCTCCACTCCCTGATAATTCATTTCTTTCTGGTTGATTTAGCTGACTGATGATGCTTGCCCTGAGTGTTTGACTTCTTGACCTGTTCTTCTATTCTATGGTTTCCTTCTTTCTCCTTTGTTTTCTTTTCCTCCAGGAGCTGAACTTTTATGGGATTCTTGAATGGTTTTCTACTCGGCTTTTCTTTCTTGTTATTTTGTTGGGTTTTTTTTTTAATACATTTTACTGTGCAGTTCTGTTTTGGCGAATCCTCCGTGTGTCATGGATCATTTTAGAAAGTAACTTTAACTCTTTGTCGTTTCAACCATTTCGTTATGATTAAGTTGACTAATGAAGTCTTTCAGACTTTTAGAGGAGTCATCTTGTATGTCTAGTCACATATATGTCTTTTTTAAGTTACAAGATGAATACAACTGTCCTCTGAGTATATTTCCTACTTTTGTATCGCTGCACAGAGGGCTGTTGTAAGCTTTTCTTCAAGTCACTGTACACAGAAGAACCAGGACTGAGGATAGGTGCAACAAAAGAAAACAGGCCAGATACTTCATTATACCACACAAACATGACCTATACCCTCAGTACTGTAGCAAAGAAAGGAACTAGTGTGCAAGGATAACAGGCTAGGAATTTCAGAATTATTAAGCCAAGATTATAATAGCAAAACAATAAGCAATATTAATGCAATAACAGAGAACTAGAGAGGAACTAAAGTAAAACACACACACACTCATACACACACACACTAAGGGATGGGATTGAGACAAACCTTAATTCTAACACTGGGTGGCAGAGGCAGGGAGATCTCTGAGTTCACTGGTCTACATAGTTCTAGAACTCCCAGTGCAACATAGAGAAACTGTTGTCTTAAGAACAAAGAAAAATACACAGAGCTTTAGTTATTACTAAAAATAAAATAAAGGAAACACTGGTTGTCAGGATGCCTCAGCTAAAACAGCATGAGAGGAAACTGTTGTTGCAGACAACCTACAAGAAAACACGCGCAGTCACAAACTCGTACACAGGAACGTACACATGCAAGTGTGGACGCACACACCAGGGTCTTCTCTCCCTGACCCCATATTGGACACAAAGCACTTTTTTCACCACGGCGGGATCCTTTAATACCCTGGGAAGAGAAGTTAATGTTTCTAATTTCTGACTGGGGCTGCAAACAGCAGCAGAAGAGCTTGCAGATCTTATTTGTAAGAAAAGAAACAAGGTCTGTGTTAGAATGGGCTAGGACGTTTGGTGTATTTTAATAGGGGATGTTAATTAGGGGAGCCAAAGAGGGCCTGTGATTGTTGAAGGAAAATACTTTGACTTGGTAGTCAGCTCAGGAGGAGAATGTGGCCAACTCTAGGAAGAGTTGGTGGCTAGGAATGTAATCTAAATGATTTAACCAGGCAGAGGAATTGGGGATAGAGGGTCCAGCAGAAAGGCAAGGCCCTGCCTGCCAGAGCCCCAAGCTCCAGTGGGCTCCCTTCATTCCCGTCTGTTTGGTTTATGTCTGAGTACTGGGGTTTGGGGAAGTGGCTGCTGTTCCCTCTGGCTGCCTCCAGTTAACATTGGAGCATTGCTGTTAGGGACCGGAGGAAGCTGAGTTGTTGTTCAAGGCCTGGAAGGAGAGGCTGTGTCTGTCAATTGACAGGTTGTATGGGAACTTCTGAAGCTAGGGAAGTCTGTGAGGCTGGGTCAGGATGTCAGGAATTAGATTCCCTGGAAAAAGCTGAGGCTGGCTCTGGGTTTGAAATCAGTTGTGCAGATAGAGGAGGGACAGGGGTGAAGTTTAGCATTTTAGGGAGAAAATTTATTCTTTCTTTCTTTCTTTCTTTCTTTCTTTCTTTCTTTCTTCCTGTCATTTTGGATGTGCATTAGGAATAGTTTCTTATTGCTAGGGCTTGGGAAGAGGAGTCCCAAGACCAGGGAAAGAGGGAGAAACCCCAACCTAAGGAATAGGCAGTAGGAAGGAAAGCTCAGTGTGTTGGTTGATGGAAATGTGTTTGGAGTTCTGGAGAAGAGCTAACCACATGCTGGAGTGGGCTATTGTCCCCACAGAACCTAGGTTTGATGGCTACTTGCCTTTGTCTTGCCACTTCCCTACAAGTGTATGCTTTTTTAAGGTGTCCTCCTATGATCTGCAACTATCATCTTTTGAGTTACTCTTCAACTAGTTGCCCCATTGTATGGATTGTATATGGTCCAAAACTTAGTTTTCATACAAAACACACAACACAAAGGCTAACAAGCGGGAAATGGCCGTGAAGGGGGAAACACAATAAATAGGAAAAATGGCTAGGGCTGTGGCTTTTTCCCTAAACTGTTTCCACACCAGTGTGAAGACTAGTTCAGATCTCTAGGATCCACAAATGCCAGCTTCCTGATTCCAGCACCTGGATGTTGGATATGGGGCACCTTGGGGACAAGCTGGATAGCTGAGCACTCTGAGTCTGCCAGGTCCATGTGGAACACCCTGTCCCACGTTAAAAGTGAATCTTAAGTG